AACAATAAATGTGCGCGGTATGCAATGGTTAAGGAGCAGTTGGACATATGACGCCCACAACTGAAACCTGATTAAATACGCTTACGCTATCGTAAAAAATATCGTAAATTGAGCTACCGAGCAAAGGAATTCAATTTCAGGTTCGTAACAAATATCCAGAAAAATATAGCATACTTATTGGAGCATTCATAACTATTGTTGCACTTCTGCTAAATTGCTAACCGAGTTGTTAACATTCTCACATGACACTAAATTCTAGGTAGTGCTATATAAAAGCAATAAGTACGTATTCAGAAAAGTGAGGATACATCAAATTTATGTTGCTAGCTACTCACAAACAGACGATTAGGTTACTACGTCTAATTTTCTGTAAGTAAACCACAAAAAAAAAGGAAAGGAAACACCGACGGAAATACACGATGAAATAAGAACCAAAAAAAAATCCAAAATATAACAACAAAGCAAATTGTGGGGGGGGAGGCAAGCAGCGTTTAGCGAAGACAACAACCGAGACTCACATGTTTTAGCGGGCGCATAAAAGTATGCTACACTGCGGATATAGAAGCATGTCAAGCTGTCATTGAGTTTTAGTTGATTTATTTTATTTTTATTTTTTTAGGGGCTGCTCTGGCATCGAATTCACTGCACAATTGCGGATTATTGAAATTTACATTTCGTTTATAAAATTATATAATTTCTTTTAGCTAAGCAGGAACATTTGGCGGCCCATGCCTTGGCAATAAACACAAACTAGCACAAGAACACACACTCTGAGAAATACACACGCGCTCGCATAACTGCCTTACTTTTTGTATATGGGATTTGCGTTTCAGTAGCACGTTGCGTTGCCAGAACTTGCTGAGCTGCCCAGACGAGACGACCAAAAGCTACGACAGTTCAACTACGACTAACTGAACTGAATATCAAATGATACTGCCGAGCCAGGCGATTCCTAAATGTGAGTATATGTACATGTGTGTGTGTGTATGTGTGTGTGCGTGTGTGTGCAGGCAACGGGCGATGGCAAAGCGTGCGACACAGCAGGCAGCGGAAAAACAGCGCGAATTTGAGTGGAAAGCCCAGCAGGATAGAAAAGTACAAGCAAAGCAGCTGACACACATTTTGGGCTTTGTTTTGGTTGTGCCCAGGCGTCGCAGGGATAACGCAGCATACGCCGTGAGGTGGAGGACGCTGCGGCGGCTGCTTGCCGGCGTTTTTCGCTCTCTCTTACAAAAAAGAGATAGAGAGAGAGAGAGAAAGAGAGAAACAGCGCCTGCGCTTAGAGACCGAATGTGTTCCGACTTCAGACAGCGGTCTGCATAAATAAAAAATAGTTTAATAAAAAGTCCCGATTGAACAATCTGGGCTCTTCAAGATGACCCGTCAACAATATTACGAGAGTTAGGCAAAGGTTTTGGCGCATTGGTCATCGGAGCTATTCATATATTCATTCACTCGGGCATTCATTTTATCGATTTCATTTTGACCAATATTCGGATGAACGTTTTGTTTACGAATTTGTGTGACACAAGACATGAATGAATGAATATATGAACTATACACACACATACCAACATATTTCTAGAGTAAAATAGTACAGCGACAACTAAACAACTGTGTGTGGGTGTGCGTGTGTGTGTGGGTGTGCATCTGTGCATGCTGTCTTCTTTTCACTCAGGTTGAATGACACTAGCAGTGGATGGACACCCGCCCGCCCGTAACTTGCACGTTGCTGGTTTGCCGCTTTATGTCCTCAATTCCAAGCGGGAAGCCATCAGCGAGTGTGTGTGTGTGTGTTCGTCCTAGGCCTCTGTCAAGTATGTGTACACTGACAGCATCAGTTCGTATTTGCACGGGAAGTGAGAAGGGCGTGACACAGTTTCATGGACTGCAAGCGAATTTGTGCAATCTCCAAAGGAATCCAACAGTGTTCGTGCGTATACTTAATATTTTAAACGGTAAGTGATCTTAGCGCGGCTCAAATAATTAAGATAATATTCACAATATTATCAGACAAAAGCAAAACATTTTATTTAATTCTGTTATCAATTTTAATTTTTTGAAACTAAAAGAATTTCAGCTCAACTTAAACTTGCGCTACCTTTTATTTTGAAGCCTATTATTTTCTTACTCTAACATTGAAAAAGAGCTTTTATACCTGTTTACAGACTTTTCACAACTGAATAGACAAGCAAAACCGATGGTTCCCAGACCCATTTATCCTTGGTTTTACCCTACCAAAGATAATGTCCTGATAAACCTAAATGACCGTAATGGTCAAAAAATATGAATGCTTTTTTTTCAGCCATTCCCCAGCGACAATACCATCCCTTCGACGGTACCTAGTTGACCCACATATCCTTGGTCATACCATACCATTGATATAGTCCTAGTGAACCTAGAGGACCGAATTCCTGCAAAATGCGTACGGAAACGGTCCAGAAATATGAATTCGTTTATGCTTTTAGTACCCCTTGTTAATAGTTGCAGTTTAACAGAATCTTGTGGCTTCTGTTAAAAGCGACAGCAAAAGTATGCCATAAAAATTTGAAATCGCTGATTTAACAGATGACTGTTAAGAATATTTTTGCAGCCTGCAGGTATGCTATGCAATTAATTCATGCCCCGTTTGGGTATGCAATGAAATTTTTCATTCATAAAAATTTTAGTTCGTCTACCTGCTGGGCATTTCTGTTCGCCTGGTACTTTGGCCAAATTTTCGTTCAAATCTAACGCCCCCCTTAGCTATTAACAGTGGTATGTTTAGTAACAGCTGCTTAGCAGTAAACTGTTAACTAACAGCTGCAGCTGCTAATTAACAGTGGCCTGTTAAAAAAAATGCAAGTCATCTTTAAAATAAATTTTTCTGTGCATCTACCTGCTGGACATTTCTGTTCGCCTGGTACTTCAGCTGAATTTTGATTTGAAAATGTGAGCCAACGGCCGGACCTAGTGAAATGGTATTTTGCAACCGTTTATATTTAAACTTAATTTAATTGTGGATAAAGCTTTAAGCGAATTTTGTTGAGATTTAGAACTATAGGTTTTCCAGGACTATATCTATGGTATGGTAAAACCAAGGATATATCGGTCATCTAAAAACCATCGAGGGAGAAGGGTTTGGCTGAAAAAAAAACGCATGCATGTTCATATTTCTGGACCATTTCCGGGCAAATTTTGCGCGAATTTCGAGATGTAGGTTAACCAGGACTCTATTAATGGTATATTAGGACCAAGGATATTATGGGTCATCTAGGAACCGATTTTGACTTTCTGTTCGGCCAGGGACGTGCCCGATTTAGTATGTGTGTAGTAAATAAAGTCCTTTCCAGAAAAGGTTGGGAGTTAAAAAGCCTTAAATCAATTTTTTCATTTTGTAACTCATATTTTTGAATGTAAATGGACAACTGGACAACGTTTTTGACAAAATTTTTTAATTAAAATATCTCCGCTTTCCACTCGTACGGATACGAGTATCGATTGTCATCCAAAAATCCACATTCTAAGAGATGTTCCAATTAGACAGTAAATGAAAGCATCACGTCTTTTGCGAAAAATGGTTTTTATCTGAAATCAAAAAACATTGATTAAATATCTCGGGAAAGTATAAGTATTCAATAGATCTTCAATCTTACCTTCGGCTCATATATTTAATTTGCGGGCCAAAAATCTTCTGTTAAAATGTAAATTTTTTTTATTATTGTAGCAGCATTGCAGTATGCATTAATATATTTATTTTATCAGAATGATGTTAAATGGATATATCATAAAAAGTTATGTATTTTAAAAAGGGTGTATGCAGAGATATCTTATTTACAATTAATGTTTCATTTAACCTGTAAGGAATTTGCAGAGGATGCTTTGAATCAAACCAAGCCAGCCACAAAGTATACTGTGAAGCACAAGTGTGCTTGCCTTGATAAACTTGGCATTCTTTTATGAATTAAATGTATTTTATTTATGAATTGCACATCAAATTTACGTGCCTCTAATTTGTTGCTCAACGTATTCGAAGCTCATCGACGACTCATTGAATATTAAACAAATCGTTTTATTTATTTAGGTGTCTGTACATTTGAGAAGTAAACAGAGACAATATGGACTGTCAGTCGCAAAGTGGATTGCGTCGATATTAGAGTGGAGGCAATATTAAAAGAAATACCGCCCGCGAGCAACTAATGGTTGAGTTGGCACTTAAACGAAATCTTTAATATGGAGATGAGGTCAGTCCAAATCGCACTTTGGAACCAGAAACAGCATCAGCAGCAGCAGCAGCCGATACGCAATATCAACGTTCGAGTTGACGATATACAATGTGCAGTGAAGCACAGGATAAAGTTGCCAAGGTACAAATTATAAACAATCAAAACTTTTCCTGCTAATCCCAATGTTCGTGCAGGACGTGCCACAGCATAGGTCATGGAATTGCAGTTGCAAACTTTGTTCCACTTTGACATGCTGCATTGAAAGAAATATATGTGTTATGCACTTGTGTGTGTGTTCTAGTTAATGCCTGAAAAGGGTTGACTTTTAATCTAGTAAAGTCCGAAAACAAAACTGTGCTGCAGGCAAACATGTTAGAGACTCTCCCATAATTTTTAGTGCTCTGGAGAATGTTTACGTAAAATATGTGCAAATCAAATGAGGTTTTTAGAAATATGATCAGGTCGATTGGACCCTAAACTATTTCGTTGAGAATTCTTAAGTAACCGATGTTATGAAGCGATAATATATATGTACTACATAGAAATAACAAGCATTGCTCGTAAATAAGCCAAATTATTTGACTCGCTAGTGAATGCCATTGCGGGAGCATTTGTTTGAGTGCGTTCTAACACATATGCCGCACCTTGTAGCGCACCACAGCTGAATTTGAGGAAGCCAAAGACCATGCAGATAAGATACCAACATATCGGTATCGACTGCCAAAGCAGTCGAAGTCGAAGCCATTCGCTGGCCGGATCAGTCGCTGTCCAAGTGCTGCGAGTTTCAGATCGTCAGTCAGTCGATCGGCAGTGAGCCTCCGCACAAGTCGAGTAGTTCGTGCTGGTTTGCACAACGCGCTGTTCAGAGAGCGATCGAGCTAACGAGAGAAAGTCAGAGAGAGGCAGAGAGAGAGAGAGAGAGAGAGAGCGAGAGAGCATAGGTCGTTTCAAGTGTTTATGTATACATAAAGAACTATTCATTGGGACCGGTTGAAAGTGCACAACAGATCCAATGAGCAGTGATAAAAAAGTGCGGCGTCGTGTTATAACGCCGACAACAGACGCCAGCAATGCGGATCCGTTGCTGAGGCAGCCGCAGTTGCACCTGTACGAAGATGAGGTGAGCTGGTAATCAAGGGCAATCAATTAGCGGTCAAGAAGTTTCTTTAAATGGAACAAGTGCCGGATAAGTGTGTGTGTGTGTGCGTGCGTGTGCGTGTGTGTTTGTATAAGTACATTGATTAGATTACCTAATTCAGGTCGTGCTTTGTTGAATAATCAACAACACAAAAAGTACTGTGTATCGCATATTAGCCATTTGCAAATTCAACAGGTGTATATGTTAAATGTGGCAGCTGCAACTGCCGTACGCGTTCCCATTTTCAAGCCCAGACACAGTCACCCACTCTTCATGGCCTTATCGAGGCAACAATTTCGGCGGCAACAGCTGCACAGAGCGCAACATGTTGGACCGTTGATAAGATAAAGTCGTGTTGGATTAAATCGAACTATTAGCACATTTTACTCGAGCCACAAAGTATCGTCTGTGCTTTAATTAAACACTGATTCACCTAGGCATATCTTGAACCGACATCAAGAACCAACCAAAAAGACCGCAACCACTTGAAATACTAACCAATTCTTGCCGCTCTTTCCACACCCGACAGCAGGCCAACTGCTGCGAACGAGTTTTCGTTAGTCGCGAGAAGATCAAATGGTATTGGGCGCCCGCGTTTATTGGCTTCTGGTTGCTCATCTATAGCGCCATATCCATACCCGCTTCCAATCACCTGCCACGGCCGCTTAGTATAAAAGATGAGGCCAAGTATCCGGAACGCTTCATCGCCGAGCGCGCGGAGCTGAATCTGCAGCGTCTGGTGGCTCTGGGCCCACGTGTGGTGGGCAGTCGCGAGAATGAAATGGGTTCCATTCAGGTGATCACCTCCACCATGCAGAAGGTGCGAGCTGAGCTGGGCGCTGTCCATGAGATTGAAATGGATGTACAGGTGGCCTCCGGCAGTTACATACACTGGAGCGCAGTCAACATGTACCAGAGCATACAGAACTATGTTGTAAAGATCAGTCCCAAGGGCTCAAACAGCAGCACCTACTTGCTGGTCAATAGCCACTTTGACACGGTGCCGGCGGGTCCAGGCGCTGGTGATGACGGCTCCATGGTGGCCGTCATGATGGAAACTCTGCGAGTGCTGGCCAAATCAAAGTACGCGCTGAAGCATCCGGTTGTCTTTCTGTTCAATGGCGCAGAGGAGAATCCACTGCAGGCCTCACACGCCTTCATCACGCAGCACAAGTGGGCCAAGAACTGCAAGTGGGTGACTGACATCAGTTCCTGTTCAACATAATTCTCAACTAATTGTTTTATTTTATTGGCAGAGCTCTGATCAACTTGGACTCCGCTGGCAATGGCGGTCGCGAGATTCTCTTCCAGTCCGGTCCCAATCATCCGTGGCTTATGAAGAGTTATCGCCGCGCCATCAAGCATCCCTATGCCTCGACCATAGCTGAGGAGATGTTCCAGCACAACTTCATACCATCCGACACGGACTTCCGCATATTCCGTGATCATGGCGCTGTGCCCGGTCTGGACATGGCTTATCAGTATAATGGTTATGTCTATCACACGCGCTACGATCGCGCGGAAATTTTTCCACGCGGCAGCTTCCAAAACACCGGCGACAATCTCTTGGCTCTCATCCGTGAGATTTCGAGTGCGCCGGAGCTAGAGGATACCTCGGTAAGAAGCAATTGAAGCTCAAGTGATGAGCAGGAGTATAAACTTCAATCTCTTCGTAGAAACACGCCGAGGGACACACCGTTTACTACGATGTCATGGGCTGGTTCTTGGTCTTTTATACCGAAACGGAGGGCATCATTCTCAATGTGGTTGTCTCCATAGGCGCCATTGTTGTCTGTGGACTCGCCATCAAGCTGATGGCCACCAACTCGGGCATCAAGCTGCAGAAAATACTCAAGCGTACGCTGCACACGTTTATTTTGCTCATCCTAGGCGTGGTAGCAGGCGCTACCCTGCCCATTATCATTGCCGTATTCATGGATATAACGCACATGCCGCTATCCTGGTTCACACACAACTGGCTGATGTTGGGCCTCTACTTTTGTCCGTTCTTCTTTGGCGTGGCCATTGTGCCCGCACTCTATTTCCACTATACCGCGACTGTGAGTATTGATTCAAACCACTCGAACTGTAGCTGGCGGCTCATACGCTGCTTTCTAGGATCGATTTCCGATTGGACAACGTGTGCAGCTGCTGATGCATTGCCACTGCCTATTCCTGGCGCTGCTCACCCTGGTGCTGACTATCTGCAGCATTCGTTCTGCATTTGTGCTAATGCTGACCTGCATGTTCTACACGGTGGGCCTGGTCTTTAATCTGGCCACCAATCTGCACACACGCAGTAAGTTAACCCAGCCGAATGGTCTACGGAATCAACTAATCCTCGTAACAATCGTCACTTTGTGCAGATGTTGTCTGGATCATACCGCACATTGTGTGCTATGTGCCTCCGTTTCTGTTCTTTGCCTATTTCTCGCACAGCTTCCTGGTCACCTTCATTCCCATGTTCGGTCGCTTCGGCGACAAAGTTAATCCGGATCTGATTTTGGCTGTCTTCAGCGTTGCAGTGGGCATGCTTACTGGCGGCTTTATCGTACCCATGCTTCACATGTTCCGCAAATCGAAGACCATCATCTGCGCCCTGCTGGGCGTCACCTTGGTGTGCATCATCATTGCTGTTACTCCACTGGGCTTCCCCTATAGGCCAGAGACGAGTGTGCAACGTTTCGCCGTATTGGTAAGTCGCATGGCATGATTCCCCAGAAGTCAGTCTATATACTCTGTCCTACAGCACGCTAAGCGCACCTTCCACGATGCCAACAACAATGTTCGCCGCTCCGAAACTGGTTACTTCATCATGCCACAGGACAGACGCACCTATTCCGTAAAAAGTAGGTATTTCATTAAAAGATGACTTGTCGCATTATCTAAACAATTTTTCCTCCTGTTTTGCAGATAAGGTAATTAACATGACTCTGGCCAGATCTGTAAAAGAGGAATGTCTCAAGGAAACTTTGTGTGGTTTTCCACTATACAACATGCGCTGGCACAATACCAGGTAAGCCCAATAGCACAACACTCACCAGGGATCCAACTAACTCGTTTCCGTTCTGAAATTCAGGGAGCGTGGCTTATGGATACCCGCATCGGAGCCTGTGCTGGGTACGCTGCCTGCGGTTAAAGTCGTATCCAAGAAGCAACTGACACCCAATAAAATCCGCTTTGAAATGGAACTAAGTGGCCCCGATCACATGGGTATCTTTGTGCAGCCATTAAATGGCGCCCGAGTTGTTGGCTGGTCCTTCCATCAGGCGCCATTACGCCTGAACTATCAGCCGCCATATTATATCTACTTCTCCTACGGCGTCAACGGTGACCCGCTGAAGTTCTGGCTGGAGCTTGAGGTGAGTTCGTGCTCGGATATATTCTCCAAGCTTCTGATTAACGTACGCAATTACACTTTGTAGAAACCCAGCGGAGATTGGAATACTCCTACGCTGGAGTTGGGCCTACATGGTCATTGGATTCACCACAAGGAGTTGCATACCGAAGATTTTAAGAAGTTCCTTAGCAGTTTTCCTAGCTATGTGGACGCAACGCCCTGGCCGGCGTCCTATGACACATGGTTGTACTGAAAATATATGAAATTTATTAGAAATGACAAGTCTAGATAAAGTCTAAATATATACTGAATAGTATTTAATATATTAAGTGTATTCTATGTACCGGAAGTTGAGGAGAAAATAAATATCAATGCAGGTTTCCGTAAACTACGTACATACACACAAGAGATATAAATTTCCTTTCGGTTACATTAGACGGCAGCAAAAAAATTAATTAATTAAATTAAATTTCAGTTCTTATTAATCTAATAGCTGAACCTCTATTAGATAAGGATTTTCGCTACCTTGGCAACTAGTCATTTGTAATTTACAGTTTTGTATTTTTACTTCAAAGACGATTAGGGATTTTGGGGTCTCGCACTGACCCTGTTCCGTAATAGATCCATACTTAGTTAAATACAATCATGGACAAAAACATTTATTATTCGCATCTCATCTAACGTTCGGGTATTATTTTATCTGAACACATATAATATAAATCAAGAATCGAAAGGTCGGAAGGTATACAGCTGAATTAGGCGGAAAGCTCCATTCTATCGTATGCTACCTCACCTAACGTCATTTAGATATGGCCGGCATTGTAAATATTTGTGCTGCCGGGTTAAGCACTGATTATCATTACTAATGATAATTATACTCTGTATATGAGGTGAATAAGAGAATATATTGGCGTTAAGCATAATCAGCAAAATATTCTGGCAAAGTGTTTTTATTCGATCTGTTAGCTGTTCTAAATATGTGATCGATCAGAGAAATGAGAGCAAAACCAGTTTCATTCTTTTTTCTTGGATTCGAAGAAGAACAGCAAAGGTTTCATGCATTATCATTTGCCTTCATTTTTTCTGTCTTTTTCTTTTCATTTTTCGCAGCGGTTATTATATCTCCAATATTATTATGAAGACGATAAAACACGTTCTCAATCATATCCAGACGAGAAAGTAGGCTGCAAAGCACACAAATTAGATTTTTAAAAGTAATTAAATGAATTGCATAATTGTAGATAATTACAAATCCAGATCTGACTCGATTTCCGTATTTTCCTTAATGAGAAGCCTGCAATGGAATGTCAAGAGTTTTTTTTTTTAATCAATCACTTAACTTACAATTCTTCAAGCTTGCTTCCATCGAGCGGCTGGTTTAGCTCATGTGCAGCTGCCCATTCTGGATAACGAGGTGCCTTGAAAAGCCCAAAAGTCACTCTGAACAATTGCTTTCTTATATAATACCACAAGAATGACGGTTGTAAGCCAACCGCCGTTGTGGCTGTTCGATATGATAATACGATAGCGGAAAAGAATATATTCTAAAAAACAACGTCAAGTTGTATAGAGCCCAACTAAGTAAAGCAGCTTACCATTATAACGAAAAATATCAACAATATGTAGGTCAGAAAGAATATGGGACCCAATATTTGGGACTCGTGTTCCAATTGAAAGTAGTCGAAATCAGTAACCAACAAGCGCAACATTGTTAAGAATGCAGTTGGAAAATTTCTAAAATCTTCGTTCTCGGAACCAAAAAGGAGTAGCCCAAGATTTCCATAGGCAGTAAACGCAATGAGGAACATGACGGCAAAGGCCACCAACTCAGCTGAAGCCTAGAATTAAACGCTTGAGCCAATTAAATAGATTAAATCACATTATAAAAGGACTATTACGATTTGCATAGCAATGCCAAGGTTTCGTAGAACGGGATTAAAGTCCATAAACCTAAGCAGATTCATCCAGGTAAGAAACACCAAGATTCCGAAAGCATCCTCATGAATCGAATACGTCAGGATCAAGTAATCCAATGAAACAAAATGGTAAGTTACAGCGTTGATCTGCTCATCGATTTCGCGCTCATAAAAACCGAGATAGATTGTATAAATGAGCGACAGATAAATTATCTAGTGTGAGAAATATTGTCAAGAAATAGAGCCAACAATATTTTCGGGCTAAGCTTACAACTATACTAGGTATATTCAATACTGCCTGTTTTGTAAAGAGATTCTTATAGCCTTTCAGATAGAGTTTCTTGATCTCGACGTAGGTATAATAAAAATTGATAACATATACGACAACGGCGCAACCCAAAATGAATCCACCAGACGAGGTGATCACTGGATTCGAATAGATGGATTCCGAGTCAAATTTTGCATTTATAAGACCGGTGGGCAATATCTCGAAAATTAATCTGCAATTTGTAGGACATTATGTTGAACAATGTTGTCAATTAGGCTAGGAAATCAAATACTTAGTGCCTATTAGCAGACCGATATTTAAGTTGATCATATTAATTTCAAACACAACGATCCGTGAACCACGATTTAACCATTCAATTTCTTTAAGGTGTCGTATGAGGCCCATATTTACATCCTTATTGTATGACAATGGTCGCACATACCCTCCGCTGTGATAGGTATGCACTCTTCCCCGGATAGGCAAGGCATTCAGCTCATCCATTGTTTTGAACTCAGTCCTGCAGTATACAGTTGGATACAGAGAGCTAAACATAATTACTTGTATGCAAATTTACATTTACCCCTTATAGAACGGCTCCTTGAACTCATTGTCAGCCGAATATGCCGCCATACATGTGTTATAGTATCGAGCGAAAGCCTGATGCACATGGCAAGTGTTAGTTTTAACACGAATCTGTCGTAGTCTCGGTGCTCCAAGTAGTAAACTTTCATTTAGAAATAAACGACCATACAAGGTTGGTCTATTGCTAATAACACTTGGCTGCCATTTAACGCTTTCATCATAGACGACGCCATGCAGCAAAGGAAGGACCATAAATTCCATATAATCCCAGAAATCTGGTATTGTAATTACCTTATCGAAAGATATAGTTGTATTTTTAGACGTATATACAGCTCTTCTAAGTAGTTGATGTATGCTCATTGTAAAATAATGCTGGTGACGCGTGTTCAGTGCGTTGCCAACCAAGGTAACGGCTGTCAAGTAGATATAAAAGATGATCAGCTGCAACAAGGCCTTTTTGGTACCCTTCTCCGTTGTATAGGTCAAGGTACCGTAGGTAGGTTGTGGGCGCTTCACGTATTCCATATTTCTTTTTCTTCAGGTTTGATTTTTCAATTATGATTCACTACGACATTTAGTTCTATGCTGTATGTAATTTACAATAGCATCGCATAGTTCTTTAAAATTCGGTGTTGTATTTTATTTAAAAAGCGAAATTAAGTTGGTCGGGAACCGAAATACTGTGTTGTTAAAACTGTTCTTTTCGATTTATAGTTATTGTTTTCGGGTTTTTTTTAAATATTTTTTTTTTTAAGGTAAGCATCATTGTTATAAATGTTTATTTACCTTGCGGTAATAAGATATATGCCGACATAAAGCTTAATCTAACCGCTGGTCATCAAACCATAAACCCGCCAAGTTGCCGCATGCTATCGCCAAATCGTAATCTGTGAGACATTATCGGCGATAAGCCCCAACTTAGTGGCATATAGCCTAAATTTTTGCTTTACATTTGGTTAACTGTGTCAGTTTTCCAACTCAAGTATTGTGGCGCGGTCAAATTTCTTGTGCTCAGTCCAAAAGACTAACTAAAGGTCATCAATAAAGGTAATGTTCCAAATCAATTAAATATATAGTAAAAATGAAAAAAAGTAATTTTGAAATAAAAATTGAACTAGATTTAACCAAATAAAAACATAAGAACGTGCAGAATTGTCAAATCTCACAATATCAGTTCTCTAGAAAGACTTCGAATGAATTTCTTAAATGCAACAACTGAAATTTCAGAAATAATAAATGTAGTTCATTACAAAAGAATTGCTTACATTGCAAGCCTTATGGCCATGGTAATCGATATGATAATGTTTGTAATTCTAAGTATTGATAGATTAGCTAGGGGTTTTTTTTTCAGAATAAGATATTTTTAATGTGCTGCTTACCCTTTCACAGATGTCATTCTCCAGCATTGACATCACAACTGAGAAGTCGTCGAATAAAGGCGGCGGAAAGTGGCCTTGGTATGGGGCGCCCATCTTTTGTGTAATCTGGTTTACACTTTTCTATGTGACCGTCATACCAAGCTTTTTCTCCTATCCGAAAATGATCTATGTTCGAGATGAGGCCAATCACCCGGACGAGTTTATAGGCGAGCGTGCCAAGATTCAGTTGGCCGAGTATTCGTCGATTGGAAACAAAATGACTGGATCGATAAATAATGAGGTGCATGTCGTTAATTTTGTGCTGCGCGAGGTGCAAAAAATTGTGGATCAGTCGCGCAGCGATCTATATGATATCGTTTCGGAGGTGCAGTACTCCTCGGGCAACTTCTACTTGTGGGATACGGCCGCCAGCTACGACAATGTGTCCAATGTTGTGGTCCGGATCTCAAGAAAAGATAGTCCCAATGACAACTATTTGTTGGTTAACTCACATTACGATTCAGAGGTGAAAACGCCGGCGGCAGGTGACGATGGCATCATGGTGGTCATAATGCTGGAAACACTGCGCGTAATCGCACGCTCCGAAAGGCCACTGGCTCATGCTGTGGTCTTTCTTTTCAATGGCGCCGAGGAGGCGAGCATGATGGGCGCTCATGGTTTTATCACAAAGCACAGATGGGCAGCCAATTGCAAGTGCGTAGACTCACGCTTTTCTTGAATTTTATAAATCTTGAATCTGTCATTTGTTTTAGAGCGCTTATCAATCTGGACTCGACGGGCTCAGGTGGTCGCGAGGTGTTGTTTCAAACGGGACCCAATCATCCGTGGCTCATGAATTACTATCAGAAGTATGCTCCACATCCCTTCTCCATAACACTAGCCGAGGAGCTGTTCCAGAATAACTTTATACCATCCGATACGGACTTTCGCATATTCCGCGACTATGGCAATGTCCCCGGCTTGGATATGGCGCACGCCCTCAATGGATATGTCTACCACACCACATACGACAACTTTAAGAACCTGGCGCGCGGTACTTATCAGACCACGGGCGATAATGTTTTGGCCTTGACCTGGGCGCTGGCAAATGCTCCTGAGCTCGATGATACCTCTGCCCACGAGGAGGGACACGCTGTCTTCTTCGACTACCTCGGCTGGTTCATTATCGTCTATACGGAATCGGCCAGCATTGCCATTAATATTGTTGTTTCTGTGGCTGCTCTAATTTGCATTGGCCTCTCCGTTTACTTTATGACCAAGAGCAATGACGCGGATGCACCGAAGGCTGTGGCCGTGCGTTTTGGCATTATCTTTCTGGTACAGTTGGGTGCAGTGATTATAGCCTGGGGATTGACCATACTCGTGGCTGTTTTCATGCATGGCGTTGGCCTTGGAGAGTCCTGGTACTACAGCATTTGGATGACATTCGGCTTGTATTTCTGCCCCATGTTCTTTGGACTGGGCTTGCTGCCTGCCTTTTACATAGGCTGGACCAAGCACAAAACGAACATGAAGCTCAACCAGACCATTGCCTGCTTTATGCATGCTCATTGCATTTTAATTGTGTTCCTTTGCCTGCTCCTGACAGGCCTGGGCATACGTTCAGCCTTCTTTCCCATGATAGGTTTGTCCTTCTACACCATCTCTATCATTGTGCAGCTGATCCTTAAGGTGACCATTAAGAGTAAGTGCCTCATCCAACATTTGATGTATTCAGCTAATTGGTATATATTCTTCTTTTGCAGAGAGCTACTTTATGTCGGTACATTTGGTTTTCCAGCTGTTGCCTTTCTTCTTCTACACCTATTTGAACTATGTAATTTTGCTGGTATTCGTACCCATGCAGGGACGCGATGGGCCTGATAGCAAACCAGATATGCTGATTGCAATCTTCATCGCCCTGATGACGATGCATTTTGCTGGATTCATAGTATGTCCTAAAGGAAAAATAATATTATAGCTGTGCATATATCAAATCTTCGATTTCCAGATACCAATTTTAAACAAATTCCGCAAATCGAAGATCTTTATCTCAATGTTTGGAGTACTAACCATTATATTCATTATATTAGCCGCCACGCCTGTGGGCTTCCCTTTCAAGGAGGATCTTGCCGCACAGCGCTACTATGTTCTGGTAAGATCCTTTTCTATTGACTCCAGATCCATCGTAATCCAAAGTTTCATTTAGCACACGCAACGCACACTGCACAATGCGGATAATAGTATAACACAAGAAACTGGATTCTATATACAACCCGTTGATACTCGATACTCAGAACTTTATGATACAACGCTTAAGAACGTTGAACCCGAGAGCTGGCTCGCGGATAACTGTGCTTCAGAGCCCTATTGCAGTCTACCGCTATACAGTGGACGTTGGTTGAATTGGAAGTACGTCCGAAACGTTAATTTGGTATAATCTCAACTGATCTCCATTATATTGCTTTTAGGGATTCAGCTCGTTGGATCTACAGTACGGCGCCAGTGTTTCCAGTTGTCACAGAGCTCACTGAGATATCAAGACAGTCTATTAGCCAGAACAAAAAGCGTTACGAGTTCAGTTTAAAGGCTGGTGATCGCATTGTCATGTACGTTGATCCCATGGAGAACGTGAAGATTACAAACTGGTCGTTCGACGAAACCGTTTTGGTGGATGGCCATACTGCACCATATTTCATATACCATGTCTCCTCCATGGTTGAGGAGCCCTATAATTTCTGGCTGGAGTTTGAGCACGATGCAGCCAATACAGATGGACCGTACTTCAAGCTGGCTGTGAGTGTACATTTCCTTTACCATCCGGAGTATTACACGAGCGAGTTTAAGGAGTTTCTTAGCACCTTTCCGGCCTGGACATATACTACCGATTGGTTTGCCTCGTATGAGAGTTGGATTTTTTAAAAGCTACAAACGAATAGTTTACAAATATCTGTAACTTAATAAATTATTTAAAATATATTTTAACACAATTATGAGCTAATCGTTTCGTTAGGAGTTAATTTCAATTAAATTCTATATTTTTTTAATTTAAATACAACTTTTGTTCGCTGGATGTCCGCCTGTGCGAGTATCATGTGTGAATTTGTGTTTAGAGTATGGATGAATACGAAAACTTAACAACAGTTCAGATTTCCGAACTATGAGTAGTGAGTTTTGAATATCTAATGTTAAATTAAACATTTTAGCAGCTCTTAGAGTTGCCAACTATTGTAGGAACCAATCCATGAGTTGACATGCGCCCAAGCGGGAAACCTGGCCAAAAACTCTCGAAAGTCTTCCTCTATAAACATATCATCGTGTATTCTATGGCCCATTATGGCGATTTTGAACGTTGCTCCGGACCAATTGGTGCTTTCGCGCTGTTAGAACAGATTTAAAAAAACTTAAATTCAACTCTGAAGAAGAGGATAGCATTTGAGCAAAGCTTACCTCAAATTCCAAATTAAAGCGCAAGGGTGTAGGATCTAAGGCATAGGACCAATAAACGTAGTGAGGCGGCGACAATGACTTTTCCAACGGCTCCTTGGTGAAGGTCCAATCCACCAGTTTGGCATTATTTATTGGATCGATAAATATGCTTGCATGATCCGGCCCAGAAACTTCTAATGTGAACATTACGTTAGTCGACGAAGTGCTCTCTTTGTTTATTATTCTTAACGTGGGCAAATAATCCTTGTTTGGCTCGGGACCAGGCACCCAAAAGCTATTGTCTCTGTAAAGATCAACAGGTTATAATTATGGCATAAAAACTTAATGTAATCTTTGTGACTTACATTGCTTTCAGCCAACGCGAGCTGTAAATGGGAAACCCGCACATAATTTCCGTTTCACACGCGCTACGATCAGCTTTTGTAAAGTTGCTTTCATCAAAGAGTATATCATCCAGCGAGTTGGGATGCCGATCCATTGGCATCACATAATAACCGGCATCGGTGTGATTGACTGAGCTGGCGGCATCTGCGTTGTGGAAGGTGCGCGTCGTATGCTGAAAGTTTGAAGTGAAATAAGGCAATGAGAATAAACTCTAAGGATGAACTATGCGCAATGCATTACCACAGCAAAGAATCGCTGAACTGCTGTCTTCTCCACATACGGGAACGCCACGGGCGTGGCAGCCAGGATAATAAAGAGTATCGTACAGATGCCAAAAAGCGAGATGATGGTCTTGGATTTGCGGAACAGGCAAAACAAGGGTATTAGGAATGGAGATAGCAGCAAACAAAACAGGGCCGTAAAGCCACCAATAAGTATTTCCGGATTCGTGCCGCTTTCGCGTCCTTGCATCGGAACGAATACAACATAAAAGGCATAACAGCAATATGTGTAAAACATGAAGGGCAGGATTTGGCAAATACAGTGAGGTATGAGCCACATGAAATCTGTAAGAATAGATGGTTGCTTATTAAATCGACAAATCGTTATGGGACAATAAACAACACACTTGTTTTATGTGCACATGTGGCCATGTTGAGCAGAACTGAGAGCGTGTAGAAGCCAATGCAGATGAGCAGACTGAAGGCCGAACGTATGTTAAAGGATATCATTATGATAGTAATCACAGTCAATATTAAGCAATGCGAGTGCATCAGAAGCTGAATGCCATACGCAAGTGGTAGACCATGCTAGAAATAATAAAACAATAAAAAGTTCAATAAATAATACGCAAATGAAGCTAAAAAAACTCACCTCCTTGGTGCGACTGAAGTAGATGGCAGGCAGTATGCCCAAGCCAAAGAACATGGGGCAGAAGTACAAGCCAAAGATCATCCAAGTCTGTGAAAACCAGGCCATGGACAAACCCACGGCATCCAGGAAAAGAGCTATACAAAAAGCGAAGCCCACACTCAAGCAGACACCGCAGAGCTGAAGTGCAGCCAAAATTCCAAACTTAGCAAATATGCGACGTCTGAACATGCCCGTATTGCTGGCCATACTCCAAATATAGGCGACGATCGTAATGAGCACCAGTACGCAGATACAAATGTTGATAATAACGCCAACATAGTCCGGATAACAGACGAAAAACCAGCCCAACACATCAAAGAATATCATGTGGCCTTCGGCATATTTCTGAGAAAAGTATAAGATTATTATAGATAAATTATATTAACAAGATATGTTCTAAGACATACCGCTGGATCTTCCAACTCGGGCGCATTCGCCAGGGCTTTGATCAGACCCAGCAGATTTTCTCCGGTCAGCTGATAGGTGCGCCGAGGTATCAGATTGAAGCGATCGTATTTCGTATGATATACAAAGCCATTTGATGTATGCGCCATATCGAGACCTGGAGAAACAAGAAGAAGCATTAGAGTAAGTTCACATTGGCGCATCTGTGATCCTTTGCTTTACCAGGTATTTTGCCATAGTCGCGGAATATGCGATAATCAGTCTCTGAGGGTATGAAACCATTTTGAAACAGTTCCTCGCCGATTGTTGAAGCGAAAGGATGCGTGATGTGATTGCCATAGTACTGGACCAAGTTGTTCAATTAATTAAGGGTAAATAAAACAATCATAATAGTTGATTAGGTACCTTCATTAGCCAAGGATGATCGGGTCCAGACTGAAACAGTATCTCCCGACCTCCACTGCCAGCTGAATCTAGATTGACCACAGCGCTATAAAATGGTTTAAAAAGAAACTAGGAATTAGATTTAAATTTGAGAAAACTTTCTGATTGTAAGCTTACCGCACATTATGAGCCCAGGGATGCTGCGTGATGAACGCGTGCGAGCCCTGGAGAGGATTCTCCTCGGCGCCGTTGAACAGAAAGATGAGCGTATAGGTGAGTGGAGTCTCATATTTCGTTATCACACGCAGCACCTCCAGCATGATGACGCACATCATGCCAGAGTCACCGGCACCAGAGCTGCCGGGCACCGAATCAAAGTGACTGTTGATTAGCAAAGCGGCCTCGCTGGTTGCATTTTTGGGTGAGAGCTTTACAACCACATTTTGGATGCTCTGATAGACGTTCACCATGGACCAGAGCAGGTAATTGCCGGAGGCTATCTGTACATCCTTCTCAATGTCGTACAGATCGGTGCGAGCGCCGTCAATGATCTCACTGATCTCGCTGAGCAGGAACTGGACAGCGACCTGCTCATTCGCCGCACTGCCCACCACTTTCGGACCGATCTTTGACAGCTTTAGCAGAGTACCCTCCGCACGCTCTCCAATAAACTGGCCCGGCTGCTGCAGCTCATCCTGCAGCGTCTTCTGCGGTGGCATTCGATGGAAACTGGGCACCACCACCAAATAAAAGAGCAGAAACCAAAAGGCCACAAAGAGCGGCGCCCAATACCAGCCAATTTTGCTGCGATTGTAGATGATTTTCATGTTCTCATATTTGGAGTTCATCTTTTCGCTAAAATGAATAATGAATAAAGAACAATGAGTGTGAACATAACACAACCCCATCGTGCCACCACAATTGACTCAATTGACTGACGAGTGCTGACCATTGAAAATGAATAAGCCACAGTCATTATCAGCCTCATGGAAAGGGTGGCGTTTAAGTAATTAGGAGCTGTTATAGGTCTTTAGAAGCCATCCATTTCCGCAACCCAAAAAATGTGAGCATGATGGTAATCAAGTGGCTGAACAGCATTGTCGGTGCTTGTGGCTCTCAAGTGGACTCAATTCAAAGCTGACAGCATGATACATTCGTGATATATTACGCGATTATGCGAATCACTCACAAGTACTCACTTTGATCGAAAGGGCGTGACGGAAACAACTGTCAGATAGTCAAATGAATTATCAAAACAGATTCATCAATGAACTTGTCCAACTTTAATAAGATATTGGTAACTGGCGCAGTAAGCATGGGGAGAGTTCAAGTACTTCGTGCTAAGTAAACAATCTTAACTGAAATACATAGAAATGATAAGGCTACCCAGGCTAGACGCTCTTCTGTTGCGCATTTTTGTTTTGGTGAACTCATCTTTAGATCGATTTTGTCATAGTTTATTTCAGTTTCGTCACCAGCGTGAATCGCAATGCATAGGACGACATGTGTTGGCCCAGAAACATTAAAAAAATATTTAATTTCTCATCTGGACAGCTGATGATTTGCTATTTGGAAAATAGCAAATTAAATTTCATCAAACGTTCAACAAATATTCAAACTAATTCTAGACATAGGCAATGCGAAACAGCCGTAAATTAAACGGGACACATTTTGTAAATTTTAATGCGATATTTCGTTTTTATTTATAGCGAAACCGGCGCATAATATTTAAGTTTAATGATGTGCTCTATGCCGTTCGCATGAGTTATCTGTGTGTATATGAGAACTTGACAAACATAGTTGAAGGATTGCATCTTCAATACCCTGTAAAACAATGCCAGACTGTGTCAGATATCTTATAGTAACCCCCAAATGACTTAAGATTCAGATAGTTTGGGCTCACGCACACTTTACACAGACGCTGAGGCTTGAAAAACTCAGGCAAGCTAAGTTGAGCTTTGACTTCAAAATCAAAATCACTAATACACATACCTTTACTTACTCACACAAACGCAACGTTTGACTGCCCCGTAGAAAGCCTCTAAGTGCAGTTTGTGCAAAGAAAAATTGTACTGTGACGCATGGCTAAGAAAAATATTTGTATAAAAGAAAACGAGAGAATTCGGCCAAATGGTTACAGTCCGCATGGCCTATAAACAGAAAAGTGTTGTATGTTTTTGAGAGTGAAGCAAATAAAAGGCAATTTGTACTTGTGGCTAATGATTAAAGTGCATGCAAAATGCAATTGGGGTCCCTTCGACAGCGACCCATTTATAGCAATGCGCCTCGTGACCCTCAGGGGCCAACCGCGATGCGGCGATTAAAAGCGGCCGTCAGACCGAGACGCAAAAAAAATAAATTCACAATGCAGACAGACAGACAGAGGGGTGTGTGTGTAAGTGGAGCACACTCGTTTCACAATACTCGTAGTTCATTAGTGTGCTTGCAGAGCAAGTGTTGCTGGGACGTGTTCTTAATCGATTTAGCATGCAAGTGTGTTTTAATCAGTTGCGGCCTTAGCTATTTTTATTTTTGCTTCTTATTATGATTGTTAATTTTATTTCGGAGCTGAACAAAAAGAGTGAGTGTGTGTGGCCACGCCCACCCAGCTAAATTGAAACAAAACAAATAAACAAACTGGAATGGAAGAGCCATGCAAATGAGTTGTGTGGGGGAGGTTCAAAAAAATTCTATTTAAAGGCTATCTAAATGGGAAGAAAATCCAAACAGTCGGCGCGGCGACGGCAATCAACTGTGACAATAACAGCCGCAACAACAACAATAACAACAACGTTTGTTTGGGTTGTGGCGAGAGAAACGAAGCGGAAGAGACAGCCCAATCCACAGTATCTGACAGATACAGATACAGCAACAGCAAGAGCAACAGCTACAGCTACAAGCTGCAAGCTACATGTGCGACATATGCCGCAAGGGCCGCAACATAAGAAGTCAATAACCTGCCTCTTGACGCTCTGCAACTTGCCACATAAACACACAAACATACACACCAGAGAGAAGCACACGAAGAAGACCAAAAGGAAGTTGCGGTTGTGTTTATGGCTGTTGAAAGAAAGCAACCAAGTGCCTCGCGGTACCACAAGAAGCCCAACAAAATGGTTTGAATATAAAGAGTACACTCAGCACACTGAATACACTCAGCACAATTGTTTGCGAGTCGAGTTTTAAAGTCAACTATAATCCTTATTTTCTATGATTTGCACTCACTGTTTTTGTTTTTTTATATTCATTCGCGCAATTTTAATGAGCAGAACACTTGCCGAAAATAAACACGAATATTTATATATTTAAATATATGTAAATTTTGTTCAATTTGTTTTGTTGCCTTTTCAAAAAGGCGATGACAAAATGCTTAAACTCGGCCAAAAGCAGCGGCAACATGTGCCATCAGCTGACACGAACAACACGAAAGACAAGAGACACACAAAACGCACAACAACCACAACTGTCGCCTTCAGCGGTCGCCGCACGTCTGGCCGGGCACAGAGAATACACAGCAGGAGACGCGCAGGAGAGAGCGACCATGCCGAAGAGCAAGAGATCACAGCACGATCCACATATAAGAGTAAATGAGAACTTGTTGTGCTCATCGAACTCACTTGATGATCATGTTGTTGTCGTTGTCGTTGTTGGCATTGTTATTGTTAACGCTGCACTTCGACATGTTAGCACCGAAAACGTAATCCCAATCCTGTCGAGAAAGAGTTCCAGCTGCTTCTCTGGACTTGAACGCGTGCCGTCGGTTCGCGTACTAAACTTTTGACCAGCGAATGGCAGTAATTTTATACACAACTCCCGAATTCGTGGATTTGAAGTGGTTGAGCCTCAAGAGCTGCCATACCATTGGCTTATGATAAGCCCATATAATCGAATTAATCGAGCAAGCAAATTAACGATACGAGGGCAATTCCGTTCGCTTTTTGCAATATCCTAATCAGTTTTTAAAACTACGGAAATTTTGGCATTTTTAGAAATCGCTTGATTGATCTTTGACAACAAGTGTCTTATAATTAGACTAACTTTTTCATTTGAAACTTTATTATTCAAGAAATAACTCGATAGTAAAAATTTCCCATTACCTGTGCCGAAAACTGATATAAATTATTTTTCTGATCGATCGATCGATGATTGGATTGCGCTCAGAATTAGATAAGCTAATTTCATCTTGGCTACATTTGATTTAAAAATGGGATGCTATTCCTTAATTCCTTTTATTCATCAAATACATATTCCACCCCTCGAACTTACATCGCGGCGCTCGGGGCCTAGTTCAAAGGTACGGATCGGCGTTTATCATTGTTAAGGAAGGGTCGCGCGAATCCATATCAATTCGAATCGCAAGCGCATAGATACTGGCGGGCCGATAAGCCTGTGACTTCACCAATAATAAGCCAATTTAATAATTATTGGCGCTATAATTGATAAGTGTTTGGCGATAAAGTTCTCAAATGCTTTGGATTAAGGTACAAGTAAACATGCTCTTTGATTTCTATGCTCTCAACAATTCAGACATTGTCGAGCTCAGATTTTGCATGCGATTGGCACATTCACGCTAGTAAGTATGCGCACAGAGCTCAACTCATACACAATAGACGATTACAAAATAGGTTGTGTGTGATACAAATTTTGCAAGAATGTTGCCCAAAATTAAAAGTAAAAGCGCCTATTTAACTCACAATTTGAATAAAATTTAAAATTTTCATGCTATAGTATACCACAAATATATATTTCGGGAATATACTTCTGTACACACATATAATTCAGCGCTACATTATGCCATTCAGCAGTATTTCAGATTGTGGCAATCTTGTGTATGCGACCTTGATAAATGTAAAAGGAGAGCTTGTGAACTTGCGAACATTTGCAATATGATTGCTGATATTTTTGGAATAAGAGTAATATGAGTTCAAGAATAATATAATAATTTGTACAAATTTCTGTGAATATGTGTCAAGCTGTTATTTGTGCTTGCTTGGTCAACATTTTATATTTTGTTGTTATAAATATAGATTGAAACGGACCTTTCTTTCTTCAGCTCCGAGCAGTAGAGAGTTCAGTTCTACGTAGGCAAGTAATAAAGAAACAAGAAGAAATACGCTGTGTTTAATTCACTATTCGACTGAATGGTAGTTGTCTTTCACAGCTCTTAAGTCCGAAATTAATTACTTTTAAAGCCCTGCAACAATTTCTTACAAGTTGGGATTTATTTAGGCATAGTGCTAAAAATAAAACTGGGTGGCTGCCACTTGACGTTGCTGTCGCGCAGTCGAGCGCGAAAATAGTAGCTGACATAATTTCAGATCAGGTAGCATCGGCCAGCGAGTCAATTTCCCAGCGCTGAGTGCATTCAGGCGTAACTCAGTCGACTCACACACACAAATAGGCATTTAAACAAAATGATTTAAATAACGAAAACAATTTGTTAATCAAGTGAAATCAAAGTAATTCGTTGCTCTGCTCGATTCCGAAATCCAAGCACAAAGCGCGCATTTTCGAAACAGAGAAAACAGATATGGGAAAACAAAAAAATGGAATGACACATAAACTGAAATGGAATCAACGGCAAACAGCGCAAAAATTAATTAGTCAAGTCTATATAGAAACAAGCATTACAAAACCTGGGACCAGAGACAGACAGCAAACAAGAGGCCAGAGACAAGTGACATAGCCAGCCAGGCACAACAGCTGCCTATCACGATGTCTCTGTCGCTGTGTTTGTGAATGTATCTGGGTTCGGGCCCAGGTCTGGATACTTAGTCTAGTCAGTTAGTCAGTGAGTGGGAGAGGCATCGTGATGACGCTTAATAAGGGCATCAGAGCTAGTGAAATGCAGTATTCATAGGCTATGCCGATATCTAATGTTGCCAATTGGTTATTAAATGGATAAACGAGTAAATTGCAAAAACTTCTAAGGTTCCATGCCGCTAAAAACAAAGCGAAAGAGTACCAATAGAAAGATATCATATTTCTTCGTCATAAAGATAAAACCCGTTAAATAAAAAAAGAACAACAACCCAGAAGAACAAAAAACAAGCCATAATCGTAACACATTATGGACTACTACACAGGTGTCTAAATACTACCGTAACAACAAGTGCGATAATAACATCCAATAAGACAAAAATCAAGCCGAGTTCGGTGTTCGAAGGGTACAATAATTGCTCGTGTTTATCGTATCACCATTAGATATTGAATTCCTCACGATAACTCTGACGTGCGCCATTCCCTAAAGTCCCCCGTGCTCATATTTTAAGAGCGTTGCGCGATTTAAACCTTCATTTGGGTAGTTCCAGTGACGGCTGAAAGACGTGGTCGATCTTAACAATCCACCGAATCGTCTAGAAGTGTCAGTGCTGTGTAGTGTTGAAATACTCAAAGGATAAGCATCAGTATAAATCTTACAGATTATTAAAATGGGTGTACGTATAAAATGAAATAACATGAAAAATACAATAAGAGCACAATGTTTTACACTAAAATGTGTGATAAGAATCAATGAATTTTCCAAAACGATGAAAAACGTGATGTTTGCTTTAATGATATTTTAAATGATGAACAACCGAATTGAGTGTAAATTACAATATTGGTGGACTTTGTGTTTAATTATTTGCAGTTGCAAATTAGAAATAATGCCAAAGCATTTGGAATATGTAGAGTTAAAGAGCTAGTTTAAATAACAATGCAAAAATATAAAAAATTTGAGCATATCGAAACAGAAATTTTCTGACCTAAATTTAATGAAGTGTAACAAAATTGTGTAGTACGATTTTTTTTTCTTAAATGTTTTCAGTTGCATTTTGTTTAAAACAAACCAAAATTTGTGTTTGCCTCTTTTGTTTGCAGCTAAATTTTGAATTTGGTTGAAAACAAAAGAGATTATCTGAAAATTGATCTGGCTACTGAGTTTCACGTTGCGACTGCTTCTAAACTCTAATCTAAACGAAAAATTTCAAATTGGCTAACTCAAGTGTTAGGCACGTTTTTAACGTGTGCCCAACATCCCAACTTATCGCACTGACCAAGCCGAAGTCGACTTATATTAACTAAAAAAAAAAAATGTGCAACTAATCGTTATTTTCTTAGATAGCCCCGATTACTTTGGCTATGGCGAATAGATCAAAGAGGCCGCACGATTTGCAAATTTATTTTTGTATTGCTTGTTGCCAATGTTTGGCGATGTTCAGCACCTAATCAATTTATTGCAGCAATTAAATATTATCAGACAAGTATTCGGGCACGTTGACCACACGCCCACATGAATCATGTATGAAACACGCGACGTGTTTAGATTTCAATGTCAGCCATTGTTCCAGTCGCTTCAGCTGAAATCTAGTTGATGAAATGTTAAAATTTCGAAGAAGAGCCGCTTATCAGCATGCCTATAAGATAATAGGAGTGCAATTGACTAACCAGGGGGCCAATAATTTACCCTGTTGCCATAACCATATAAAAGGAACCCGACCTTAATGTAGAGCGTGTCATGTAAACCCCGAAGTTTGCAATTAGCACGGTAATTTCGCTCATTGCGGGCAATCAGTGTGCACCCTCGTCCGACGATTAGATACCGACTGGCTGTCGGGAAACGCCGCTTGACCATTATAACAGCTATAAATAGCATTTAGAGCTAGTAGTTGGGCACTTCCAATATAATAATTAATAATAACCGATAAAAAATTAATGTTTTTACACTTTTCGTGCAGTTCAACTCCAAGTACCATATCGATGTGGACTTTGAGGTGCCCAAGAAGCTGCAATGGTACTATGCACCCGCCTTCTTTGGCTTCTGGTTTGTCATTTACCTGTCGCTGGTCAACACCCAGATCAATCACATGCCCACGCCGCTGTTACGCACCGATGAGGCGTCTCATCCACGAGATTTCATAGCACAGCGCGCGGAGGATACCCTCATTGAGTTGACACGGATTGGTCCACGAGTTGTCGGCAGCATTGCCAATGAGGTAACCACCGTGCAGTTCTTCAGGGACGAAGTGGCCAAGGTGCAGGCGGAGGCGAACGATCGCTTCGAGATCGAGCTCGATGTGCAGCAGGCGAGTGGCGCTTACATGCACTGGACCATGGTGAACATGTACCAGGGCATACAGAATGTGGTCGTCAAGCTGAGCGAGAAGGGCAATACGAATGAAAACTATCTGCTGATCAATAGCCACTATGACTCTGTGACTGGGAGTCCGGGTGCTGGCGATGATGGCTCCATGGTGGTGACCATGCTAGAGGTGATGCGCGTCATTGCCAAGTCAGATGAGCCACTGGCACATCCCATTGTCTTTCTATTCAATGGAGCCGAGGAGAATCCGCTGCAGGCCTCACACGCCTTTATTACGCAGCACAAGTGGGCCAAGAACTGCAAGTGGGTGCACTTTGATTTTAGCTAATCCTAACATGAACATCGATTGTATCTTACGCAGAGCCCTGATCAATCTGGACTCGGCAGGCAGCGGCGGTCGCGAAATCCTTTTCCAATCGGGGCCCAATCATCCCTGGCTCATGAAATACTATCGCCAGGTGCCGCATCCCTTTGCCAACACATTGGGCGAAGAGATATTCCAGGCTGGTTTGATACCATCCGATACTGATTTTCGCATCTTTCGCGACTATGGCGGTGTTCCCGGCCTAGACATGGCCTACATTTTCAATGGCTATGTCTATCACACCAAATTCGATCGAGTGAATGTCTTTCCACGCGCCTCCTTCCAACACACCGGCGACAATGTGCTGGCTTTGGCTAGGGCTCTGGCAAATGCTCCCGAACTAGATGACATTGAAGTAAGTCAGTTCCAAAAACGTTTGATCTCTTCAGACAACTTGATTTGCAAATTTCCATGTCCTTGTTTTACTACTACTAATTTCAGGCTCACGCCGAGGGTCACAATGTCTTCTATGACTTCCTAGGCTGGTTTATAATTTTCTACACAGCAACCACAAGCATTATTATAAACGTGATTGTCAGTGTGGTTGCGCTTCTGGCGATTGGCATCTCCGTGTACTTCATGTCCGTCAGATCCGGTTGTAGCTTGTCGGGCGTTTTGATGCGATTTGGTATTATATTAGGCATACAGCTGGTCTCTCTGGCTCTTGCTGCGGGCCTGGCTCTTTTGGTGGCGGTTTTCATGGACGCTGTTGATCGATCACTGAGCTGGTTTACGGAGATGTGGCTGATAATCGGTCTATATTTGTTTCCAATTATCGTGGGAATGAGCATTTTGCCCGCCCTCTATCTGGAGAAGACTAAAAGGGATCCGCTCAGCCTCGGATTTCGTGTACAGCTCTTTATGCACTCCCATTGCGTTTGCTTAGTTATTCTGATTATAGTTCTGACATCCATTAGCATACGGTCGGCCTATTTTATAATGTTGTGCGTGCTGTTCGATATTGTGGCGCTGGTTGTGAATCTGGTTACCAAATGGCATCGCAAAGGTAGGTTTTTAAGCTTATTAACTGGTCAAATGTTTTAAGTCCTAACTATCCTATATGCAGCTTATTGGTTTGCCATTGCCGTCATGATCTGTCATATACTACCCTTCACTTACTTCACCTACATCTGCACGGTGGCACTTAAGACTCTGATACCAATGCAGGGTCGTTCGGGTGGCTCATCTAATCCGGATTTAACCGTGGCCATCCTAATGTGGTTGTTTTCGCTCATGTTTGCGGGCTTTATTGTGAGTACTTAATTCGAAACAATATTGGAAACAGAAGAGAAACAAAATTTGACTTTGATTCAGGTGCCACTCATCATGTTCTTCCGGAAGACGAGAACGATAGTCCTGTGCTTCCTGGCTGGCACAATATTGTTCATCATTATTGCAGTCACGGATGCAGGCTTTCCATACCAACCCAAGACATCTGCGCAGCGCTACTCCTTGATTGTAAGTTGAGCTTTTAAAAGCTGGGGCATACATAATAATTTATATCAATTTGTAGTATGCACATCGAATACTGCATAATGCTGATGGTACGACACGCACTGATGAGAGTGGAATTTATGTTTATCCTCAGGATCGACGGCTCAGCATAGCCGAAGGTATGTCTATATCCAGATTCTGTAGGTTCGAAAACCTTGTATCTTTTCCACTTTTTTGTAGATGAAATCAAGACAATCGGCCAGACACATAAAGTCAGCGAGTTCTGCGAGGAGGAAATGTTCTGTGGCATGCCATTATATAATCATCGTTGGCATAAGGCCCGCGAATATAGTCTATGGATACCGGTTAACGAGCAGCCACAGATACCGACGGCATATCCCACTTTGACTCTACAGGAAACCACAGAGTTGGATGGCTCAACGCAAAGGCGATTTAACTTTTCCTTGGATGGTCCCGATCACATGACCATCTTTGTGAATGTAAAAAACAATGCCAAGCTGCTGGATTGGTCCTTCAATGAGACGCTAATAAAGGAAAATGAGCCACCGCCACATTTTGTGTACTTTTCCTATGGTCTGGATAATAGTGCCCTTGAGTTCACCATCGATGTTGAGGTTTGTTTAGTTTACCCAAATTTATGGATCTTTCTTGCTGATCCGTTTATATACATTTTAGAAGACGACATCAACGTTTGACACACCCACCCTGGAAATAGGCATTGGTGGTCATTGGGTGCATCATGAAATTGCAAGATCTCAAGGCTTGGGCGCATATCTCGACCGCTTTCCGTCTTATACCTATGTACAAGCCTGGGTAGGCACCTACGAGAGCTGGTACTTCTAAAGAGGCCATCAATAGCATTAAAAAAAAAAAATAAATATAATGCATTTTGGTATCAAATACTAAACTAATTCAAAATTAAATTATAATCACATTGATAGAATCTGATAAATATATATAATTAGTAACATGCTTTCGCAGTAATGTGTAGTCTTACGAACATGTGTAACATGTGTAAAAATGCAATATTTATGTAGATTTCTAAAAACTAACAAAAAATAAATAAATAAAAAGCCAAATTTTTTAAATCTCAAGAAGAACAGAACAACGATCTTCGAAGTGGAGTATCATTTGAGACGTGTTTCCCACTTTTCGTAGAATCCAAGCTTCCTCGGTGGAAAATGCATGTTTGTTTTGTATATATGCAAACGTGCATGCATGCGTACATTTATATATGAATAAATGTCCGGATAACTGCACACATTCCTACATACACATGTACATACATATATATATACATATATACATATACACATGTACATACATCCATATATATAAACACACATACATACAAGCACACAAAAATATAAAAAACAAAATATAAATAAAAAAAAAACATCAACAAAAAAACCAACAAAAAAGGACTACATTACAAGCTAAGCATGAAAAATTGCAGAGCCTACTTGAATTATTGAGAATCGAGGAGTAGAGCACTTGGTAGAAATTTGTTTGCTGCTCAGCGACAAATAATCCTGGTCTGTGGAACGAACATGCATGCATACATAAATCTGTACATGCATGCATGCATACACATACATACACACACTCACACAACACGCAGGAATGTGGAATACTTCCACAGCTAGTATTTTATAAATATCAAGCTAAGAAATTTAATAATAAAATAGATTATATAAAAATGTAAAAAAAAAGGATAAAAAGACATAAATTTCAAGAACTTATTTATATGTCGTGTTAGAGATATTTCTAACCGTGCATGTTTAAACTGTATTTCGTGCATTGAAGGAACATTCGCCAACCTCTTGTTCTAACTAAAACAAGAGACACGATCGTGTAAATGATTTTAATCAGTATATATAAGAAGCGTGTTCTATATTAATAAAGTCATAAATCTATTGAACGTTTTTGATAATGTATTCTTATAAACACAAAAAGCTTCCAACCAAACAAGCTCATTAGGCGCTATCTAAAGCAGACTTCCAATAAAACTGCTTTATAAACATGGTACATTTCGAGAATTGAGATATCAGGAAAAATATATTGCTGACTCAAGCCTTATTTCGGTAATTTATATCGAAGACTGATTAATGTGTTTGAAGTGAATGCCGCCAATAATATGAGAGCTTCCTATAGGACAATAAAATAGACTGTTGCCAAAAAATGGGCAGGCTTAAAAGTAAGGTGAATACTTATATTCCGTATATTTTTTTAAGGGTATATAAATTTGCCTAATTCGCTTAGAAAAATTGCTTAATTTTTTTGCTTAATATCAGGGTTGTCCTAGGGTCTTATATTCTTCAAGATTTCTTTTTTTAGATCTTACAATGGATTTTGTAATTAACAAAAACCAACCTTATTTAGCTACCCTCGCACAGTCTTTAATCAGACAATCAAATTATATGATTTTATTATTGCCGAACAGTTTCAGTATTTCGTATCATAGTTATGTTACGAACGGACTTGATTGCTATAAAGTGGCCTAAAATACGAATTACGGAGTAGTTCAAATTTGCCAAGCATTGGACTCACCAAACGAAAAATATAGCAAGCGAACAAGATGAGTGACAAGGATAAGCTTGTAAATACAACTGATTAATTATACAATTTGACTCTTTAAATTTTTAAATTTTTCATTATAGATATGGCATGAGTCTGGCGAACGATTTGTGCATACCCCCCGAAACGGAGCTAAAAATGAACAGAAAAGAAAGTTACCCTGGTACTTTGCTAGTGGATTTCTACTGTTTTGGGGGCTCCTCTTTTTCGCAGTTGTGATACCATTCTTCTATCGGTTACCCACAGCCCGAACGGTAGAGGACGCATATACAAATGAATTTATTGCAGAACGTGCGTACAAAAATCTTTACCAACTGTCAAATATTGGTACCAAAATGATCGGTTCTAAGGAAAACGAGGTTGAGGCTGTACAGTACCTTCTTAAGGAGCTTAATCAAATTAAGGATGAATCCCTAAAAGATTACTTCGATATTGAAATTGACTTATCGCAAGTCTCCGGTCAATTTAAATATGCAAATCTGATTATCTTGTATCAAGGAGTTCAAAATATTGCTGTAAAAATAGCTCCCAAAAACAGCAAAAGCGATTCATATCTCCTTGTTAACAGCCACTATGATTCCAAGCCAGAAACTCCGTCTGCCGGTGATGCAGGTTTTATGATTGTCACGATGTTAGAAGTTTTGCGTGTTTTGGCAACTACAAAGCAAACCTTTGAACATCCTATAGTCTTTTTGTTCAATGGGGCTGAAGAAAGTTCTATGCTAGCCTCGCATGGCTTCATAACTCAACACAGATGGGCGCCACACCTCAAGTGAGCTATATTTTATAGAATTCCTTTTTAATTATATAACATATCAAACCAATATATTTGCAGAGCCGTGGTTAATCTCGATGCTGCTGGAAGTGGAGGGCGTGAATTACTCTTCCAAAGTGGCCCCAACTATTCTTGGCTTGTAGACGTAAGACAATTAATAAATGATTATACCTTCCTACCAAGTTTCCCTGTTCATTTGCAGTATTACAATAAGTTTGCCAAACATCCCTTTGGCACAACATTGGCCGAGGAAATTTACCAGTCTGGTGCGCTGCCTTCTGATTCTGACTATACAATTTTTAAAGAGCACATTCCAGGTACGTTGAGAGTACAGGATTACGAAATTACAAAATTAATAAATTTTATGTATGCATATAGGATTAGACCTGGGTCAATGCTACAACGGTTTCGTATACCATACCAAGTACGACGTGATCGACGTTATTCCTCGAGAATCCTTGCAGAACACCGGTGACAATGTCCTAAGTCTAGTTCGAGGATTGGCTAATGCAACCGAATTACACGATACAGAAGTATACTATAGAAACTCAAGATGTTAGCACTAAATTATATTTCTTCTTCTTAAATTCCATTCACAGGCTCATAAAACTGGACACGCTGTGTTCTTTGACTTTCTGGGAATCTATTTTGTACACTATTCAGAGGCTACGGGAATATCGGTTAATTTTGGCGTTGCCGGAGCTGCATTCCTTTTGGTTTTCATTTCAGTGTGGCGCATGGCAGCTGTCTCCCACGTTTCCATATGCCACGTGGTTTGCTGGTTTATATTGGTCCTCATCGTCCAGGCTATCTCTTTTGTACTCGGACTGGCTCTTCCTATTGTGGTTTCATATGTATTTGACAATGTAGGACTTTCGCTGACTTACTATAGCACCCCGTTGCTGGTGATCGGTCTTTACGTGTGCCCCTCACTCATTGGCCTTAGTTTGCCCATAACTGTATACTACAATATCCAGTGCAACGTAAGTATCTGATCTTGTAGGAAGGAAGTCATACGTTTTCTAATAAATTGTCCTTTCCAGGAAAAAATCTCGACAGCGTATCATATCCAACTGGCGTTGCATGCTCAGGCTGTTATCTTAGCTTTTCTAGCCATTTGTCTTACATCATTTGGCTTGCGTTCTTCTTATATTTTCGTAATACCACTTGTCTCCTATGTTGCATCCTTGGTCTTGAATTTATTGACTACTCTGCATGACCGTGGCTATGCCTGGACAGGTCTGCTAAAGGCAAGCCAGATAATTCCTTTCCTCTATAGCAGCTACCTTTTCTATCTTTTCGTGGTGGTAATTACACCAATGACTGGGCGTTCGGGCAGTGCATCCAATCAGGACGTATACATTGCAGCCCTGGCAGCGATAGGAACAGTTCTTTCGTTTGGTTTCTTGGTAAGTCTGCGTAGCCACTGCTCTACTAAATATGCTTTAAATTTTCTTTGTTAACACAGATTCCTCTTATCAATACTTTCCGACGACCCAGTTTTGTGGTGTTCTCCCTGCTTGCAATCACAGCTGTCGCTATGTACTTAGCAAGTAGCACACAAATCGGGTTTCCCTATCGGCCACGGACCAATGGACAGCGAGTTGCATACCTGGTAAGTCTATCATTGGATTTACTGAAATATAGTACTCGATGCTATGCATGCCCTTTGCATTTCAGCAAGTGCGAAATATGTTCTATGAGTACGATGGAGCTCTCAGTAAGGACGAATCTGGTTATCTATTTAATTTTCAAGATAGACGTGAAGAAAAACCTTTCTTGGGCTCAAACGTCAATCTGACTGGATTGGTTAGCATAAAATCGAGATGCGAGAAGCACATGATGTGTGGAATGCCTTTGTATGATTTTCGCTACGTTGACAACCGGCTGCAAAGTAAATGGTTGCCACGATCTGAGCCCATTGTACCACCAGGATTGACCACATTGAATGTGCGGAGCAAGACTGTTCTTAATTCAACCACTGTCCGATTTGAGTTTAGTTTAATAGGCCCCCCTCAAATGAGTCTGTTCTTTGAGCCCTACGAAGATGTGACAATTAGCAACTGGTCGTTTTTACAAAGCTATCTTCAGAATCGCCCACCTTATCCTCTGTCGTACCATATATTCTTCAATTATGGCATTGATAAATCACCTTTAAACTTTTTCGTGGAAATTTCGGTAAGATATTTAAAAATATAACTTAAGTAAGTCTGATTATATTTCCCTCCATTTATTTTAGAAACGGAATGGAGACTTTAAGGTACCCCTATTTCAACTTGGTGTGCAGGGACATTTTGTTGGAAATGAGGGCGATGCAGAAAGTGTGAAGTTTGAAACTCAATTCCCCTCCTATGCGATTCTTGCCACTTGGCCATCATCTTATTACAGATACATATTTTAAATTTGAAAAAGTATTGTAAAAATAAGTTAGAGCTATAATGAATATCTTTTTTATACCAATTTTAAGCAATTATAAATGGTTTTCATAAATGTATCATAATAATTGTAAGGAAGTGCATCTTAGACTGAAAAATATAACTATCGGAAATAGAATTCATCATTTTTCATTTAACCCGTTCTTCAGGAAGTGAACATATAAAAATTGACAATTCACTGGCACTCTGGTTATACCTATTATATAATTCCATTTATACCTTAAACTCGTTAGTCTGCTTTGTGTGTCAATATCAATGCAGTCATTAAAAAATACCTTAAAATGTAAGTGGTATTTATTTCATTGGGAACTTACCAAATTGAGAGATGAAATTGTATTCCTTGGCGTTAAAGAGCATTGCGAACTCCGCGACGTGTTTATAAATGTCGGTTTTCGGTTGTTGGTAATGGCCCCTACAGTAGATGGAAGGTGGGATCCCTACACATCCTTGCTGTCGCCTTTTAGTTTTCATAACTAGCCTTTATATTCTAGTGAGCCTTGATCAGCTGACAGATGTGTCGGTCTGTTTTTGGCGTTTAGGGATTTTATGCCGGAATATCCTTGGTATCATCGCGGCTAAAAAGGTATGTAAAGAATTTCTAATACGTTACTCACTTCTCAACTTATTAAAATTATTTTATGTATTATATTACTTTATGTATTACTTAACGATATTTTATCCACATTTAGTGTCTCAAATTATGACTTTGCTATTTCTAAGAGCGAATTTTAAGCACTTCCATTAACTTCGAGTGTCAGATACAAAATACTAAACCACTGCACGATTCACTAGGTAGTCAAGTTTTTGGACTTTCAAAGAAAACACTCGATTTCGAATTATATAAAAGAACAATCTATGTACCCATAGGAGCATTTTTTCATTACACTGTACATTTTCAATACTGCGTGTTATCGGCATAATAAAATCATTTCATATACATGAACAAGCTATTAGCCCATAAATCCATCAGGAAATACAAATTGGTATTTTGATAAGCTAGAAGTTCCCAGTTGAGGTTTCGGGTAAAGTTGGGCGCGTGTGCGTTTCATTTTGAAACGTTTTACAACGAGCCTTTACATAAACATACATATTTCCGACCTATTTTTAACAGGTTTTCTGATCCCGTGTGGGACTATGGATGCAAAAGCTTTAATACTCTGAGAGTTTATCAGTCTTACGCTAAAAGTAACTCACAATGGGTATGTAAGAGTCAATACACTGAAAATTATGAAAATCAAGCTGTTATATTCACATTAATCATTTTATTGTGACTCTTTCAAGCCAAATAATGGTTTGGCACGATAAATTAATTTATACACTCGGACGTTTTACAATCCAGACATTATGATTTTCTTTGTTCTTTGAATATAAATGCGATATACATTTACTTTTGCCTGGCAGTTCTTAGTTGTCAAATTGGAGTTCACTGCAGCAGACTAGAAATTCGGCACAAAACGATATGGCTGACAAGGAAAAATATGTAAGATCTAAAAAGGTTCCTGAAATGTGCAAATCCACTCAATGTTTCAATTACCCGCATTTCAAAGATTTCGTACGAGTCTGTCGAAGCATCTAGAAATGTTCTAAAGAAGGACGAATCCTTTAAAGTACCTTGGTACTTTGCAAGTGGTTTTCTGTTGTTCTGGGTACTTCTATTTTTCGCCGTCATGATACCTTTTTTTTATCGGTTACCGACGGCCTTAACAATAGAAGATTCAAAGAAAAATGTGTTCATTGCGGAACGTGCGTACAAAAACCTCTACACTCTGTCTAATATTGGTACCAAATTGACTGGCAGTAAGGAAAATGAGGTTGAGGCAGTAAACTTTATCCTAAACGAAGTGACACAAATAAAGGAAGATATGCTAGAGGAATTTTTCGAGATGGAAATTGACTTATCGAAAGTTTCTGGAGTTCAGGGATATGGTACTTCATTTGATGTATATCAAGGCATTCAAAATATAGTTGTTAAGCTAACGCCAAAAAGTAGCAAGAGTGAATCGTACCTTCTAGTTAACAGTCACTTTGACTCCAAGCCGTTTACTCCATCTGCCGGAGATGCAGGTTTTATGATTGTCACGATGTTGGAAGTCCTGCGTGTCATTGCAACAACAAAGAAAGCCTTTGAACATCCAATCGTCTTTCTATTCAATGGATCTGAAGAGGGCTATTTGCAAGCTTCACATGGATTTATAACACAGCACAAATGGGCGCCATACTGCAAGTAAGCTTCGAAAGTTCAGTTCAGTTCGAAAGCAATCGCATTACATTTTATAAACATTTGAGTAATTCTCAACTTTAATCATAGAGCTGTCGTTAACCTAGACGCTGCTGGTAGTGGAGGTCGCGAAGTTCTATTCCAAAGTGGTCCCAATCATCCTTGGCTTGTTAAAGTAAATCTTTAAACTTACAACCTCACTTTTTTTGTTATATAAACATTGAAACAATTTAACAGTATTACAAAGAATATATTAAATATCCGTTCGCTACTACGATGGCTGAGGAAATCTTCCAATCAGGCATTATTCCATCGGATACCGACTTTCGACAGTTTAAAACGTATGGCAACATCCCAGGTAAGAGTTATTAACTTTTCGAATTGTAAAGAATGTCGGCAAAACAAATCACTTAACACAGGTTTGGACATGGCTCAATTTATTAATGGATTCGTATACCATACAAAATACGACGTGATCGATGTAATTCCTCGTGAAGCATTGCAGAACACAGGGGATAATATATTAAGTTTGGTTCGCGGCTTAGCGAACGCAACTGAATTGCGAGATACAGAGGTATAAGCTAGATTCCCGAAAATTTAGATTGATTTTATACTCGCATTTGTCATTTTCAACCCACAGGCATATAAGAGTGGAAACGCTGTCTTCTTTGATTTCCTGGGACTCTACTTCGTCCATTATTCAGAGACTACGGGAATATATTTGAATTTCGGCGTTCCTGGAGCTGTCCTGATTTTCATTGTTGTTTCAATGTGGCGTATGACAGCTATTTCCCGCGTTTCCATATGCCATGTTGTGCGTTGGTTTATATTGGTGCTAATCATCCAAACTATTTCTTTTGTACTTGGACTGGCTTTTCCTATAGTGGTGGCATATGTATTTGACAATTTGGGACTGTCGCTCACTTACTATAGCACTCCATTGTTGGTAATTGGTCTTTACGTGTGTCCCTCACTCATTGGCCTCAGTTTGCCTTTAACAATATACTATAATCTCCAAGGCAACGTAAGTTATAATCTCATATATAGTTGTTCACATTTTGTAATGAACTTTCCATCCCCAGGATAAAATATCGACTGCCTATCATCTCCAACTGGCATTGCATGCCCAGGCCGTTATACTGGCTCTTTTAACTATTGGTCTTACATTATTTGGCTTGCGTTCTGCATATATTTTCGTTGTTCCACTAATTTTCTACGTATTATCTTTGGCCTTTAATTTATTGACTACTCTGCACGATCGTGGCTATGCCTGGACGGGTCTGCTTAAGGCAAGCCAGATAATTCCTTTTCTATACAGCAGCTACCTCTTTTACACATTCGTTGTAGCGCTTACACCTATGGGTGGGCGTGCGGGGAGTTCTTCCAATCGGGACTTGTATATTGCTGTCCTGGCAGCAGCAGGATCGATTCTCTCGTTTGGTTTCTTGGTAAGTCTTCGTAACGACTCCTCTACTAAATATGCTAATGAATTATGTTATTAACACAGATCCCGGTTATCAATGCTTTCCGACGACCCAGCTTTGTGGTGTTCTCTCTGCTTGCAATCACAGCCATCGCGATATACTTAGCGAGTAGTACACAAATAGGATTCCCGTATCGACCGAAGACCAACGGTCAGCGGATTGCATATCTGGTAAGTGTCCTATAAAGCATACTGACGGATATTATTTCATCTTTAAAGAATGGCTACGATTTCAGCAAGTGCGAAATATGTTCTACGAATACGATGGCACTCTCAGTAAGGATGAATCGGGATACCTGTTTAATTTTATGGATCGGCGTGAAGAAAAGCCTCTCTTGGGTTCAAATGTCAATTTGACTGGATTGGTTAGCATGAATTCGAAGTGCGAGAACCATATGATGTGTGGCATGCCCTTGTATAGTTATGGATATATTCAGAATCGTCTTCAAAACAAATGGTTGCCGCGATCTGAACCTATCGAAACCCCAGCATCGACCGCATTGCAGAGGTTAAGCAAAACAGTTGTCAACGCCACAACTGTGCGCTTCGAATTCAATTTGACAGGCCCCTCGCAGATGAGTTTGTTTATCGAGCCCTATGAAGATGTGACTTTAAGTAAATGGTCATTCGTGAGCAATGGTCAGGTACCATCAGCGTCCCAGCAACCATATTCTATATTTTTTACATATGGCATTGATAGCTCTCCATTAAACTTCTTCTTGGAATTAACGGTGAGATATAACTTAAAAATTCCATGTTTCAATTTAAATTTATGTATCATTTTAAGAAACCAAACGGTAATTTCAACGTGCCATTATTTCAATTGGGAGTGTCAAGTCATTTTATTACAAATGAAGGTGATGCTCAAAGCGTGAAGTTCGCGTCTTCATTCCCTTCATATGCAATTCTGGTGCAGTGGCCCTCATTATACCAGAGATACATTTTTTGAATTAACAAAAATATTATTATCAAGGATGTAAGCCGTTCGAATCTGGTGCTCTAACATACACGTATTTAAGTATAATTTGTATGTATGTTGTATTTGTAATTATGTGAGTTATAATATTCTATTCTATTTTCTCAGATTTTGCTTAACCAATTTTAACAAATAATTTTGATAGCTCTTCTGTTAACGCCAGAACATATGTCAATAAGTAGAGTAACATGCTGTGCGCCCTGTTAAACAGTACATAAATCAAATAATAAAACAGTTTAGGAAAATATATAAGAACAATATACAATACATGTGCATACAATGCATGTCCAAATCTTACCCCAAGATTCGTATATAGACATGGGTCAAAAATGGCCACCCCCATATCTCGGCCAAATTTCATCCGATTTTCACGAAGTTTGGCTTTTTCTTCATGGTCTTCCCTCTAGATTAATGTGGCATTCAAATCTCGACACCGATTTTTTGGTCGAAATTCATGTCTTACCCCAAAATTCGTATATACACATGGGTCAAAAATGACCACCCCCATATCTCGGCCAAATCTCATCCGATTTCCACGAAGTTTGGATTTTTCTTCATGGTTTTCCCTCTAGATTAATCTGGCATTCAAATATGAACAGCGATTTTTTAGTCGAAATTCATGTCCAAATCTTACCCCAAGATTCGTATATAGACATGGGTCAAAAATGACCACCCCCATATCTCGGCCAAATCTCATCCGATTTTCACGAAGTTTGGCTTTTTCTTCATGGTCTTCCTTCTAGATTAATGTGGCATTCAAATCTCGACACCGATTTTTTGGTCGAAATTCATGTACAAATCTTACCCCAAAATTCGTATATAGACATGGGTCTAAAATGACCACCCCCATAACTCGGTCAAATCTCATTCGATTCCCACGAAGTTTGGATTTTTCTTCATGGTTTTCCCTCTAGATTAATCTGGAAATTAAATATGAACAGCGATTTTTTAGTCGAAATTCATGTCCAAATCTTACCCCAAGATTCGTATATAGACATGGGTCAAAAATGACCACCCCCATATCTCGGCCAAATCTCATCCGATTTTCACGAAGTTTGGCTTTTTCTTCATGGTCTTCCCTCTAGATTAATGTGGCATTCAAATCTCGACACCGATTTTTGGTCGAAATTCATGTCCAAATCTTACCCCAAAATTCGTATATAGACATGGGTCTAAAATGACCACCCCCATAACTCGGTCAAATCTCATTCGATTCCCACGAAGTTTGGATTTTTCTTCATGGTTTTCCCTCTAGATTAATCTGGAAATTAAATATGAACAGCGATTTTTTAGTCGAAATTCATGTCCAAATCTTACCCCAAGATTCGTATATAGACATGGGTCAAAAATGACCACCCCCATATCTCGGCCAAATCTCATCCGATTTTCACGAAGTTTGGCTTTTTCTTCATGGTCTTCCCTCTAGATTAATCTGGCATTCAAATCTCGACACCGATTTTTTGGTCGAAATTCATGTACAAATCTTACCCCAAAATTCGTATATAGACATGGGTCTAAAATGACCACCCCCATAACTCGGTCAAATCTCATTCGATTCCCACGAAGTTTGGATTTTTCTTCATGGTTTTCCCTCTAGATTAATCTGGAAATTAAATATGAACAGCGATTTTATAGTCGAAATTCATGTCCAAATCTTACCCCAAGATTCGTATATAGACATGGGTCAAAAATGACCACCCCCATATCTCGGCCAAATCTCATCCGATTTTCACGAAGTTTGGCTTTTTCTTCATGGTCTTCCCTCTAGATTAATGTGGCATTCAAATCTCGACACCGATTTTTTGGTCGAAATTCATGTCCAAATCTTACCCCAAGATTCGTATATAGACATGGGTCAAAAATGACCACCCCCATATCTCAGCCAAATTTCATCCGATTTTCACGAAGTTTGGCTTTTTCTTCATGGTCTTCCCTCTAGATTAATGTGGCATTCAAATCTCGACACCGATTTTTTGGTCGAAATTCATGTCTTACCCCAAAATTCGTATATACACATGGGTCAAAAATGACCACCCCCATAACTCGGCCAAATCTCATCCGATTCCCACGAAGTTTGGATTTTTCTTCATGGTTTTCCCTCTAGAATAATCTGGCATTCAAATATGAACAGCGATTTTTTAGTCGAAATTCATGTCCAAATCTTACCCCAAGATTCGTATATAGACATGGGTCAAAAATGACCACCCCCATATCTCGGCCAAATCTCATCCGATTTCCACGAAGTTTGGCTTTTTCTTCATGGTTTTCCCTCTAGATTAATCTGGCATTCAAATATGAACAGCGATTTTTTAGTCGAAATTCATGTCCAAATCTTACCCCAAGATTCGTATATAGACATGGGTCAAAATTTACCACCCCCATAACTCGGTCAAATCGCATCCGATTTTTACGAAGTTTAGCTTTTTCTTCATGGGTTTCCGCCTAGATTAATCTGGCATTCAAATCTCGACACCGATTTTTTAGTCGAAATTCATGTCCAAATCTTACCCCAAGATTCGTATATAGGGTCAAAAATGACCACCCCCATATCTCGGCCAAATCTCATACGATTTTCACGAAGTTTGGCTTTTTCTTCATGGTCTTCCCTCTAGATTAATGTGGCATTCAAATCTCGACACCGATTTTTTCGTCGAAATTCATGTCCAAATCTTACCCCAAAATTCGTATATAGACATGGGTCAAAAATTACCACCCCCATAACTCGGTCAAATCTCATCAGATTTCCACGAAGTTTGGATTTTTCTTCATGGTTTTCCCTCTAGATTAATCTGGCATTCAAATATGAACAGCGATTTTTTCGTCGAAATTCATGTCCAAATCTTACCCCAAGATTCGTATATAGACATGGGTCAAAATGACCACCCCCATATCTCGGCCAAATCTCATCCGATTTTCACGAAGTTTGGCTTTTTCTTCATGGTCTTCCTTCTAGATTAATGTGGCATTCAAATCTCGACACCGATTTTTTGGTCGAAATTCATGTACAAATCTTACCCCAAAATTCGTATATAGACATGGGTCTAAAATGACCACCCCCATAACTCGGTCAAATCTCATTCGATTCCCACGAAGTTTGGATTTTTCTTCATGGTTTTCCCTCTAGATTAATCTGGAAATTAAATATGAACAGCGATTTTTTAGTCGAAATTCATGTCCAAATCTTACCCCAAGATTCGTATATAGACATGGGTCAAAAATGACCATCCCCATATCTCGGCCAAATCTCATCCGATTTTCACGAAGTTTGGCTTTTTCTTCATGGTCTTCCCTCTAGATTAATCTGGCATTCAAATCTCGACACCGATTTTTTGGTCGAAATTCAAGTCCAAATCTTACCCCAAGATTCGTATATAGACATGGGTCAAAAATGACCACCCTCATATCTCGGCCAAATCTCATCCGATTTCCACGAAGTTTGATTTTTCTTCATGGTTTTCCCTCTAGATTAATCTGGCATTCAAATATGTACAGCGATTTTTTAGTCGAAATTCATGTCCAAATCTTACCCCAAGATTCGTATATAGACATGGGTCAAAATTTACCACCCCCATATCTCGGCCAAATCTCATCCGATTTCCACGAAGTTTGGATTTTTCTTCGCGATTTTCCCTCTAGATTAATCTGGCATTCAAATATGAACAGCGATTTTTTTGTCGAAATTCATGTCCAAATCTTACCCCAAGATTCGTATATAGACATGGGTCAAAAATGACCACCCCCATATCTCGGCCAAATCTCATCCGATTTCCACGAAGTTTGGCTTTTTCTTTATAGTTTTCCCTTTAGATTAATCTTGCATTCAAATCTCGACACCGATTTTTTAGTCGAAACTCATGTCCAGATCTTACCCGAGATTCGTATATAGACATGGGTCAAATATGACCACCACCATAACTCGGTCAAATCTCATCCGATTTTCACGAAGTTTGGCTTTTTCTTCATAGTTTTCCCTCTAGATTAATTTGGCATTCAAATCTCGACACCGATTTTTTGGTCGAAATTCAAGTCCAAATCTTACCCCAAGATTCGTATGCAGACATGGGTCAAAAATGACCACCCCCATATCTCGGCCAAATCTCATCAGATTTCCACGAAGTTTGGCTTTTTCTTCATGGTTTTCCCTCTAGATTAATCTGGCATTCAAATCTCGACACCGATTTTTTAGTCGAAATTCATGTCCAAATCTTACCCCAAGATTCGTATATAGACATGGGTCAAAATTTACCACCCCCATATCTCGGTCAAATCTCATCAGATTTCCACGAAGTTTGGATTTTTCTTCATGGTTTTCCCTCTAGATTAATCTGGCATTCAAATATGAACAGCGATTTTTTAGTCGAAATTCATGTCCAAATCTTACCCCAAGATTCGTATATAGACATGGGTCAAAATTTACCACCCCCATAACTCGGTCAAATCTCATCAGATTTCCCCGAAGTTTGGCTTTTTCTTCATGGTCTTCCCTCTAGATTAATCTGGCATTCAAATCTCGACACCGATTTTTTGGTCGAAATTCAAGTCCAAATCTTACCCCAAGATTCGTATATAGACATGGGTCAAAAATGACCACCCTCATATCTCGGCCAAATCTCATCCGATTTCCACGAAGTTTGGATTTTTCTTCATGGTTTTCCCTCTAGATTAATCTGGCATTCAAATATGTACAGCGATTTTTTAGTCGAAATTCATGTCCAAATCTTACCCCAAGATTCGTATATAGACATGGGTCAAAATTTACCACCCCCATATCTCGGCCAAATCTCATCCGATTTCCACGAAGTTTGAATTTTTCTTCGCGGTTTTCCCTCTAGATTAATCTGGCATTCAAATATGAACAGCGATTTTTTTGTCGAAATTCATGTCCAAATCTTACCCCAAGATTCGTATATAGACATGGGTCAAAAATGACCACCCCCATATCTCGGCCAAATCTCATCCGATTTCCACGAAGTTTGGCTTTTTCTTTATAGTTTTCCCTTTAGATTAATCTTGCATTCAAATCTCGACACCGATTTTTTAGTCGAAACTCATGTCCAGATCTTACCCCAGATTCGTATGCAGACATGGGTCAAAAATGACCACCCCCATATCTCGGCCAAATCTCATCAGATTTCCACGAAGTTTGGCTTTTTCT